TCTGGACTTATGAATATGGTACGCACATCTGGGTATACTCTTGGGTGAAATTCCTTCCTCACAATGCAGATTTTTAGCTGGAGCACCTATAACCACCAAAGAAGCAAAGACTAGGACTGGCATATCTGAAGTACCATAAACCAGGCCTGATCCAAAGCTCATGAAAGTCAATGTATATTATTCTGGTTTCCATGGGATTTAAATCAGGGCCTTAATTGCTTGAGAAAGCTTGCACAGCATAACATTATGAATTATTACATTTATTATTCTCATGGCACTACCAATATATGTGGAGATGTATAACAACTAAGCTGCCCTAAGTGATTCATAAATCTGTTAATTTATGAGTGATTAAATTAAATAAGTTCACAGTGGAGAAATTAAAAGATTATTAGTGTTTCAGGGAAAGCATCATTCTTTTGATCCTTGCCCGACACAGTATTTTATCTGTGGTGTGTCTTGCTATGTAAGACATACAGTTAAAGAGCGCAATTGCCTCATAGTGTGATGGACCTGTCATGTTGAGAAGGTTTTATCTAAAAGCCAAGAAATCACTTGTCAATGTCAAGTCACCCATCCCCAGTATGACATTCACATTGTGAGTCCAAGCACAGCTCAGTGGACAACAAAGCAGTATTGCACACTCAGATCCCATAACTAAATGTGAACAAATGTAATACTCAAGTATAGCTTTCATGATGAAATAAAAGATATCTCACCCATGAAAGGGGATTATTATCTCTGGTATAGAAGCGTGACCCCTCATTAAAATATCCATGGTCAAGTCCATCTCTTCCAGTGAGAGATTCTATTTATTCTGTGGGATTGTTTTAGTTGTCAAAGACCACATTCTAGCTTGAATCAGAGTGTGGGAATTACAAGTGAATCCAGGCAAATTCTCACGAAACTTTTACCAGCTCTTCCTGCAATGCAGCACTTTACTGATCATTAATATTACTTTGCACAAGCTAGTCTTTCTTAGGCTTTCTTATAAGGTGAGCTCAGTCTAATTTCATTGAATTGTGAACTTTTTTTTCAAGTCTGCTAACTAAAGGAGAAACATTATTTCTCGAGCAGGTCAAAACACAGGATAAAAACTTTCATTTTTTTGTTTCATTGTTTTATCAAAATTCAAAATGTTGAGGATGTTTATTTGAAATTGTCAATCTTTAATTTTCTTCAGCATGCCAAATAATTATTCAGATCTTGTGTCTCTTAATTGTTCTGTCTGTTCTAGATGAATATTTACACTTAACTAAGAGAAGTTATCCGTACATTGGGAATTTAGTAAATAGTATGAAACTATTGCTGCATGAAGATATCGGGTCCTTGGATATCGGATATACAAGGAGCATTTGGAACAAAAAGATGCATCATTATCTTCATTATCCCCCATTAGTTAATGTCAACTATGTAAAGATGACATTTCAATAGCATGGCTATATCAATTAAACAAAGGTGGCCTGCTTTCCACAGACAGACATGCTGGCCACTTGCTCAATCATTTGTCCTATTTTCAGTGGCTTCTCTTTTTTCACATCGGCGTAGATTAGGGAGTAATTTAAACGTGTATAGGTAAATCATTTGAATTGGCTCCAAATAGCAATGTATGACAGACCCTACTCAATAAAGAAAATTAACTGAGGCCAGAGAGCAATTAGCACTGTGCTAACACTTAACAGCCAGCTAGCTCCAGTAAAAAAGGAAGTCCTACTGCAAGGGTTAAGGTGACTAATTATTAAAAGAAGGATGTGAAAGAGTACTAGCTTGGGAGCCCTTTTTTATGAATAGAAATTAGAGAAGATGTCAAGAGACACACGGGAGAAGTTTGGGACGGAGTTAATTTCTGTATTTGCTTTCCAAATGAGCAGAAGCTCTATTTCCATGAGCAAACACCCATCAGATTTTTTTTCACTGTAAGAGGTTGGAAGAATGCAAAGGCAGAAATTATTTCAAGAAGACAATGAAATGGCTGGAGGAACAAACAATAGATACTTGTCTTGGTGTCCCTGGGCTGGGTGCCAGAGCAGAAGGTGGTACTGGGCAAGCTCAGGTGCTGTAAAAGGGAATGGACTGTTGCCAATGGCATTTGTGCAGTCCTGCGGGAGACTGGCAGGAGGCCAAAATGCTGTAGTACAAGGTGAGCCAGCCAGGGCAGCAGCTGGGGTGTAGTAGAGAGGGACGAAATCTGTACGACATCTGGGCTGTGAAGAGAGGCCACGGTGACTCAAAAAGGCTGAGATAGCATTTCGGGGGCATACCAATATGTGATTTTTTTCCCCTGGGCATCCGCTACTGGCCCCAGTTCCATCTGTGGACACCAGCCCTTCTCAAAACCTTTTAAGACCTCTGTGAGAACAGAGCTTAATCATGATTACAGAGAACAAGATATGAAAATAAATTAGGGATGAAGATCAAACAGTTAAAAACCAGGAAACCAGCAGAAGACATAAAGCAAAATATCCCTGGCAGAGCTCACTATTCTCTGAAAGGCATCCAAGGAGCAAGTGGACTTTGCCCATGGCCCTCTATCTGGATTTTTGGCTACTGTTGCAAACAAGAGCCTAGACTAGATAGATCTTCAGTCTGACCCAGTACAACCTAAAAATCACCTTCTGCTTGCCAAAGTAGACTATAAATAATAGTATCCAAACCTTCTACCCACTCTTTATTTTTCTTCAGAAAAATGTTGCCTGATATCTTGCCACAAATCTTCTAAGATAGGTACTCTTCCACATGATGAAGGATTTTATGCCAATGAGTGTATTCAGTATGCGTAGGTAGATGCTTTATGTATGTGTGATAAATAACAGTCCCTTTGAGAGGTACAGTAACCAAAAAAATGTGTTTCTTGTAACAATCCCTAAAGCACCTTTTGGCAAAAGAATACATTAATTCAACAAATGCCACGGTACTATTTGTAAAAATATATCATTTCCCATATTGGACATCACCTGCAGTTGGCTTCCACTTGGACGGTAATGTAATAACACTTCAAATTTCTCCATTCATAATTTTATTTTGTATCTGTTCTTACTCTAATTCAGCTAAGGGGAATTTAACATATATAGCTATAATATATATATTCAAAGTTCTTCCATGAAGCCTTATACTTTGATTCATATAGTTTTTGACAACATACTTCAAGTGCTTTATTTTAATAAAGACTGTTTTCATTATGCTGTTTGGGATTTGGTGGAAGAAACACATTTGGAGAGTTGTCTGCCTCTTAAAAGTGTACCTATCGGCTTTAAGGTCCTGTTTCTTGGACCATAAAACTTGTCTATGATGATTTAAATGAGAATTCTGTTTGACCTTTTGTGACTTAATTTCACACTTGATTTCCACTGCTGCCACTACTTCACCTCAAAGACTGAAGCTGTGTCCCTCGGATGGGGAGGGTCTGTTTGGCTTTTCTGGATGGAAAGGTGCATGTCTTTTTAGCATGAACCAATTACTCAGTTTTAATGCAGAACTGACCTTTAATCTCAAAATAGTATGCATGTTAGATTTCGCATTCCTTCTATAGGGGCAGTAGGAGTCCCAATCTGACATGGCCATATATGGTACAATAACTGTGTACTCGTCATTTAGTCTTAAAATACATTTTAATCAAGTTTTTAATAATGGAACAATTGTGTAGCCTATAAATGTCTATTTAGTATCATCTAAAGTCACTGATTTATCTATTCGATATTTCTGTAAACGTTGCTCTTGATACTCCAGTTTCACTCATGTAAACACAGCAGTGACTCATGGCTTGGCCTATCCAGCACGTCCCTGTAATCAGTTCCATCTGACACCACACATTCTATTAAACCATTGCTTCTTATCCTTGGCCTTTATCTAACTCGATCATAGATGAAACAATAACAAACAGTTAAAACACAGACTCCGGTGTATTTATAAGTGCCAATGTCTGTTCTTAAATCTAGGGTAACCACTGGAGTTTTTTCAGAGGTGCAGAAAGAGAAAGCATTCTAATTTTGAACTAATAGCTGTGATGGAGAAGGCAGTACTACAGTTTCCCCACCAGCAGCGTGCAAATCGCTAGCAAGGGTCACCATAGGGTTGATGGCATCTTAACCTCCTGCACTTTCAGTTTTTGAAATATATGCTGATGCAGGCAGTGAGATGGCTGCTAGTGATTCTTTGTTATGGTGTATGTCCTGTACTGCAATCACTTCACACAAGCTATCAAGGAACTTTCCACAGATAACAGGTACAAGGTACTGCTACTCAGGGCTCAAACGCCATTTTTGACCAGAGTCTCCACTGGAAAACAGGGTTTTTCTGCTCCACTTTCATTCTTTGCCATTTGGGATAAAATACTGTTTTACCCATAAATAAGCATATAAAAAATAAAATATCTATATAAATAGACACATAGTATAACGTCTGGAACAGGCTCTGGAGATGAAGCCCTCCATATTCTCCATTGTGTGACCTAGGTAATAACTATGCGGATGTCTAACAGCAGGAGGCCTAATGGAGGTAGCATGGCTGCCTTCTTGTAACTGGCCTCTTAGCAGATGCAATATCACCTTAACAAAAAATTGGTCTGCTAGAGCACACATCTGCGATGTCTATTAATGGATAAACCTCCACAAAGGAGTCATATGCTGCTCTAAGCTGAAGCCCCTCAGAAGTGCTTGACCAGAGTAACTTTGAACTCAACACTACGTGAATTTCTGTCAGCATGAGGAAAGTGGGAAGTAAGGGAAGGAGGGCACAGTTATAAATACGGGTCTGCTCCTTTGCAGGCTAGAAGTTAGCACAAGTGTTTCTACAACTCAGCACAGCTTTCTGTTAGCTCAGCTGGTCAGAGCAGGCAAATCTGTGACCTTCTGTGGGCTCCACACTGTGGAAACACCTCCGATTTCTGCTGAGTCAGAATCAAAGAGATTATCTTTTAGATCAGCTAAGCACAATCAAAATAGTAAGACGATTACTTAAGTCAGCAGGATAATTTCTGCTGAGGCATCACTTGCAAAACATACCTGAAAGCCCATCAGTATGGTGAACCATAGTCACTCTCAGTTGCAAGTGGTTAAAACCACTTGCACTTTGATTCAGGATCAGTGGAGGAATACCAGATCCACACAGATGCTGGGGAAGCAGTTGTGCCGAGATCAGTAGCACGAGCATCAGAGAAGAGAAGAAAGCAATCATCCCGTTCAGCAGTTCAGTCGTTCAGTTAGAACTGTCAGCTCGACACAGAGCTCTTCAAAGCACACACCACCACATCGCCCTGCTTGTCAGCACAGATGACAATGATAGTTCCTACAACTGAAAAGCCAATTACAGAATCAAAAATCACAAACCTAATAAACCATGTTTAATCTTGTGGGCTATTATTACCTCCATTTTCTCATCTGTCATTTACGTATAGTCTAATTAGATATGCGGTCTTTCTGGGCGGCACATTCATTAAAATCCTGTCCCCAAAGAGGCAACATTAGCATGTGATTCATACTGTACAAAATATAATTAGAATGACTATTAATTGAATTTCTAGTGTGTGTCATCCCAGCACGATGAATTATCTTGGACAGTATCATTTAATTTAAGAATTGCTACATAAACACAAATGCCATCTTTAAATCTCCTGTAGTGTGCTTGGGGAAAGGTACTGAGTAACAATCCATTCCATTCATCTATACAGAAATCTTAACAACTTCACTTATCTTTACAGGGCTAATAAAACTGAGTATATTTTCTCTCACTGTCATTCCAGTTGTATATTACAGTAGTCTGCCCTGCTTAGACTACTGTTTTATTACTAAAAAAATTAAAAATCATATACCTGTACCGTAGAATAACTTCAAAGTAAATCATATTCTTTCACTGTATTTCTCTGCCTGGCACTGAACATTCATGAAACATTTTTAAGATACTGAGCTTTTATTTTCTAAATAGCAAGCATATCTAATCAGTACATTTCCAGGTTAGGGTCTGAGATGAGCAAAAAGTTACACAGGTAAAACCAAGAACATTTCCTTTGTGCTCTGCTGAGATTCACAGTTGCCAATAAGAATATATTTCACTGAGCAAAATATGCCTTTTATTATAAAAGAAAGTAGAAGAGGATGCTAGAGATCACAGAATGCATTTTCAACTGCTGCCTCTTCCTCTCATACAGCTTTGGTGTTCAGACTTATTACTAAGACTTCACATGAGTTCCAGGGTCAAAGACATATCAGAAAAATAAGGTAAGTGCTGAGGAGGTTTGGAGGCAGCAATAACAGCAAGCACACAGAAGATGACTGAAAATGAAAAATGACACTTGTAATCTTTTTGTAGTGCCAGGAGTTGACTTTTCACACCATTCAGGATAGGAAGAGTGATTAGATCTTCAAAGTCTTAAGTAAAGGAACTGAACAGGTAACAAGCTTGATTCAAAAAGCCAAAATGACCCTAGTTCTATAAAAGTTGCTGAACTTGCTGAACAAAACAGTCCACTATTTTTCACTCCTCCCTACTGGAATGTAAAAATAAAATAATAAAACATTATGGCAAAGGCCTACCAGACAGCCAACCATTACTGAAGAATCATTTTTAATGGGAAGGATACCACCGGAAAAACATAACCTTAACAGTATTCCAGTTTCTCGCCTGCCCATTTATGGGAAATAGAGACACATACCAAAAGAAAAGGGCCTTGGTGAACTTTTAGAAAAAAGTCTCAGTCTTTAGTTTTTGGCCCTTGAGCTCAAAAGCGTTACCTGTTCAGTTCCCTTAATAATATACTTTGAAGAACAAAGAGAGGTCATTGGCTAATATGGTTATATGGTGACTTTCTGCCATCTCTGCTGTATCTGAAGAAATGAGAAATGTCACAAACCAGATCATGCAGAATAACCTCATTCTCCACTTGCATTTGGTAACTTGTGGGTCTATTTCTCTCACTCTTGCCTATTTGTCATATGATCCTTCCTTGGTATATTACGTTATCTTTGCAATCCTCCTTACAGAACAGGTCAGTAATAGTTTACTAGATCTTGTTTCCAGTGGGAATTAGTTGTCAAGACAGAGTTGGACTTTAATGTGTTCTAACACTTTCAAATAAAAAGAAGATGATCACAAAACCCACAAGTGCTATAGAAAAGAGCCTGTTTACAAGGTCAACACAAAAAGCAGGTCAGTGAATGGAACGGCTTCTCAGCTTGGATTACTCTGGGACTAGGCTAAAAGCCTGCTGTGAGTGTTCAGAATGGGTATCAGGTGTCTTTACTGTCCTCCTTCTCAAGGTTAGCTCACCAATCCTATGCTGGAGTCCTCATTAAACTAGTAACAGAGAAGAATCCTGGAGGAGCTGCCTGGATTCCTTCCCACCATGTTTCCTGTGGTTCTGGAACGCCCCCTCGAAAGTCCCGAACACCACGCACAGGAAGAGAAGAAACAGACAGGCATTTGTGAAAAAAAGAATGTTTACTCTAGATGTGGATCAAAAACAGAAAAGAAAAGTACCTGGAAGTAGTATTTTTGAACTTCTACTTTATCCACCTTATACTGTCAGAAGGGATTGACTCAGACCCCCTCCTAACATAGCTTGGCAAACACGTATCACCTTGAACATCAGAGATGTTTCAGGTAGCTCTAACAATGATATTTTCATGGAACTTCTAGTTTGGCAAGAATTTGAAGGAGAGAGTGAATTGCAGAGAGTTGGCAGGAACATAGATCAGCACTTTGGAGCTGAAAAGATGCAACATAGGAAGATCAGACAGCCACATTAATGCAGAAAATAGTCTAAGAGAAAATTTTTACTGCAGCCATGTATGGTAATATAGGTAAAACAGTACAATCGCCAGAAAATCATCCTCTTAATTAAATAGCCTCACAGAATTTCAGTCTTCAATAGGCAGCTGATTCTAATAATTCTAAACCTTTGGTAACAGACTGTTCTTGGTCCTTGGATGCCTTCTGATGCTTGTGCAAGAACCACAGATGTTTGTAGTTTCAATACAATGAAATGGTCAAAAGAACATCAAGTGACAAGATAAGTAGTCCGGATAATAGTGCCTGGCAATCCTTTGTGTCTATCTGTCAATTGTAGCCCTCAAAACACAACATTTCTGCATATCTTCTATTTAGCTCATGCATTACTGCAGACAGAGATGGATGCTCAATTATTTGTCCCAGCTTTCAAAATCACAGTGCTACTCTGTGTATTTTTAAGTTTTGAGTGTAAAAACTGTTTAGCAGGAGACACTTTACTAGCATTATTTCTCTCTCATGCAATCAGCAACATACACAGGCACATGCACAAAGCTTTTGTGACTGAAACCTAACCTCAAGATTAAGGCACAAAGTACATGACGTGGTTAGACTAAACAAATATCTTTTGGAAAACATCCACTCTAAGCTTAACACCCCAAGTGACAGAGAATCTTCCAAAAACCATGATAAGCGATTCCAATGGTGAAAATGAGGCATCACAAAAAAACTGTGTCTGCCTAAAGTCTAGATATTCTTCTCATTTTAAATTTTCTGTCTTCTTCTCTTATCTATGGGATATTGTTATGCACTTGAATGCTTACAAAAGGCCTGAAAGACCTTAGTTATAGGCCACAGGCAAATTGCCTTTTACATTTCTCTTTGATAAGATAAATGGATGAAGCTCCTTAAATTTCTCATTGTAAGATTTGTTTTATAGACCTCATATTATTCTCATGATTATGCCCTTTTCTTGCTGCTTTCTCTTTTGTAAACAGTCCTGGCTGAAAACAAAACTCTTTGTTCTACGTATATTGTACGTGGCCTGCATATACCACCAAACTTAGAGTATCAGTTCCTTGCTTCTACTGAGTAAAACTTCTTTGGGACATTGACAATGGCTAGTTTCACACACAAATCTGGATCAAAAAGCACTATTATCTGTCCAGATTAACACAATGGACAAAGTTTGTGGTACTTTATTTTCAGCCTTATATTAGCTAACAGCCTAACTATGTATCCTTTCTTCTTGGCATATTAACACAGTTCTTAGTACAGGTTGCAAAATGGACCTGAGACACAGGATGAATGCTCTAGCTATTAGTCTGTGCTTATATAGCTAGGCTGCTACACTGCAAAGGGAAAACAAATTAATTGAAGCTCACTTGGGTATACCTCTGAGTGACATGCAGGCAAATCCTTAATGAGAAATAATACCATGCAAAACTTTAATTTTTTTTTAAAGTGTCCCTCTTTCCGTATACTTGTTATCACAACCTTGTTTATGAACTGGGCATGTTCAAAAGAACTGCATGGGGCAAATAATAGAGAGATGCACGAATAGCAAGTTCCCCCAAAAGAGACCTTAATGTTTAAAAATCTTGAGCGTCTGTGCATTATCCACAAGAAAAACTCGATCTTTCCTAGCATCTATGGTAGCTATTGTTGTGTCTATTGCTGTTACCTTCTTCAGGTTAAACAGCATTCACTTGGATGACGAAATATGAACAAAAACTAAAGGATGACATTAATTTAGAAGCATCTCTGAGGGGAATTTATGTACAATAAGACAATAAAAAATAACTTTATGGATTACATCATGTTTTATGATGTCATCAGTACCATTGAAGATATTGGAAGTGTGCTTCAATAATACTTCGAAGCGTATCTTGAAAAATTTCTGTAGCTGAATGCACTCCAGAGTCTTTAGTTTTTGACCCTTGAGCTCAAAAGCGTTACCTGTTCAGTTCCCTTAATAATATACTTTGAAGAACAAAGAGAGGTCATTGGCTAATATGGTTATATGGTGACTTTCTGCCATCTCTGCTGTATCTGAAGAAATGAGAAATGTCACAAACCAGATCATGCAGAATAACCTCATTCTCCACTTGCATTTGGTAACTTGTGGGTCTATTTCTCTCACTCTTGCCTATTTGTCATATGATCCTTCCTTGGTATATTACGTTATCTTTGCAATCCTCCTTACAGAACAGGTCAGTAATAGTTTACTAGATCTTGTTTCCAGTGGGAATTAGTTGTCAAGACAGAGTTGGACTTTAATGTGTTCTAACACTTTCAAATAAAAAGAAGATGATCACAAAACCCACAAGTGCTATAGAAAAGAGCCTGTTTACAAGGTCAACACAAAAAGCAGGTCAGTGAATGGAACGGCTTCTCAGCTTGGATTACTCTGGGACTAGGCTAAAAGCCTGCTGTGAGTGTTCAGAATGGGTATCAGGTGTCTTTACTGTCCTCCTTCTCAAGGTTAGCTCACCAATCCTATGCTGGAGTCCTCATTAAACTAGTAACAGAGAAGAATCCTGGAGGAGCTGCCTGGATTCCTTCCCACC